AGTTCCAACCACCCTGCATCCCCACCACAAAAAAAAAAAACAAAACCCAAACCACCCACCCCCACCCAAGTGTCTATGAGCAAAGAAATCCTAGTCCCTCAGCCGAGGGGAGAAATATGGGAAAGCTCAGGAAGAACTGGGAGGGGGCTGAGAAGCAGTTGGAGAAACTTTTGTGAAGGTGACAAGCTGGAAATCAGAGGAGGGCCTGAGCATGGGTAGGGTGAAGGTGATGGGGACAGTGGGGGCCAGTGTAAAGGAGAAGAAAATTGAAGGTAAATGAAGGGGAGCAAGGAAGGAAACAAGTGGCTGGGTTGTGAAGGAGGGACATGATCAGAGGGGCCGATGGAAGGGACAGAAGGGGAGTTTATAGGGGGATGGAGTTCGAGTAGCAATGGATTGAGGTGCTGGGCAGGCTGGGAAGTGGGGAGAGGTTAGAGGTGACCCCCTGCAAGTTGTGCCCACCTTATCCAGGATGTACTTGTTGAGGTAGGGCATGTATCCCTGGCTGGAGACAGGGCCATCGTCATCATCTCGGAAGTGCTCCTCCAACGCCACGGGGTCGTGGGGGATGTGCAGGACGGTGTACAGGTTGTGGGACAGCACCTGAGGCAGGGGGCGGTTTGCCTTCCTGTGTCCCAGCCAAAATTGGGGAACGTCTGCTCCCACCTCCCTGCTCATCACCGACCCCCTCCTGGCTTAGTCCTCTCTACACACTGCTCTGTTCAATTACAATTAAAATCTGTATAGTTACTATGCGCCAAGCACTGCCCCAAGCACGTAATGCCCCCGAAAACTGTTCAAGACCTCACTTTACAGAAAGGAAAACTCCTGAGGCTGTGAATGTTGGTAACCCATCCAAGGTCACACAGAGCTGGGAGTCAAACCCAGACAGCCATGTCCATAACCCTTGCATTAGGTATGGGAGTCCACTTTCTGCAGGCAAGGACGATTTGCCCAAGGACCAAGGGTGTACAATGAGAAGAGCCTGGGATTTGAATCCAGCTCTGCAGATCCCGAGCCCAAGTGCTTCCTGTGATGCTGGGCTGTTGCAGGAAGGCGGACTGCCACCCTGGGCAGAAACCCTGAGCTGTCATCAATTGCATTGGACACTGTGTTCAGGTTGCAGCATTCCTAGCACCTGGGCATGTCTGGTGGGGGGATGGAGGGGGACTTCTTCCCTCAAAAGATGGAAGGGAGCTGGAGAGAGCTCAAAGGGACATCAAAGTTGACCAGTTGGATGGATGGCTAGTACAGGTCGAGAAGGGATGGCAGCTATGACAGTGTGGAGGAGAAATGCATTGGTTAACAAACCCATGACATTAGAACAAAGAGGTTAATTTAAGGGATGCTTTGCTACCAGCATTTGGAATTTCTTGGAATTCCAACTAATTGCTTGGAATTAGTTACTGAGGCAGGAGCTGCACATCTTCTTGTCTTTATTCTCTTTTGTGAAAGGAGAGGGAGAGAGGACTGAGACTCTCCCTAATGTTCTCTTGGGTCTCGGGTTCAGCTTGGTAAAGTGGGAAGTGGGGGGTGCCTAGCAAGCGGGGGAGTGTTTCTCTTTTCTCACTTCTGTCTGGGAACTTCATGGCTGTACTATTCAAATTATCTCACATGCCATCTTGGGTTCTGTCATCTTCTGTTCTTTAAAGGACAGAAGTTTCTTCCTTATTTTGGTAAGGAGACTTGACATTCCTTTGAGAAGTAATTTCTCCTCTGCTCTCAACACCCGTGGATTTGGTAGTTGCACCCCTACCCCACCTGGCTGCAGGGTGGGGTCATAGTGGTTGATTCAAGCATGGATGCATGACCCCGTCATAGTGGTCGACTCAAGCATGGACACATGACCCAGCCTGGGCCAACAAGAAGCCCTACGATTTCTGCTTTCTCTAGCAGTAACAAAAAGAGAGAGAGAGAGAGAGATTCTTGTGAGATTGTTAAGCTTTAGAGGATAGATGCAGTTGGCATTTTTGTTCGTTTGCAGGAAATGCCTGCTTAAATAAAGCCCTTGGGGAGAAAGGCAGAGTTGGGGGATAAGCATGCCTGGAGGACCTGGATCTAGCCATGCCGACAGCCAATTATGCTTGGGGTTTTGTTTCTATGAGCCAGTAAATAACATCTCCCCTAAGTTTGTTTCTATCATTTATATCCAGAAAAGATCAAATACATGTGTAACTATAGGCTACCAATCCCAGCGCTAAGAGGTACTGCTGACTCAACGTTTCACACTTGAAATCCAGGATGACTGACTAATGCTGAGTAGCCACTTCTGAAGCGATCTAATAGGTGTTATTCTAAGGGTTTTTTACATGCTCCTATTTGCTTCCTCTTCAAGTCTCTACGGTACTTTTTTAAGCTTCCTGCATGGCCCCAACCTAATAGCTACACTCCAGCATGGAAGGCAGGGAAGTTTCCCTGCCTAGTGGTGGGGTCTTGGCTAAACCCCATCATCTGAGTCTGTTTCATCGGCAGTCAAACAGGGATCAGAGTGAGATAATATGCATGGCATGCTGAACTCAGGTCTGCATAGAGCAAGTGATGATGGCTCCTATCCTGTGTAGAAAACAATTTTTTTTAACCTAACAAATTGACATCGATGGAAAAGACTAATAATACTGAGCCTTAAAGAGGCTGTGGGGACTTGAATGCCAATGCTGGTTGAGTGTGAATTGGTCATCTTTTTGGGGTAGAATCTATTAAACTTCAATCTGGTGACCTTTGCCCCATCATTGATAATCATCCAATCTACAGATGCTCAAAGGAACAGAGCCACACGCACAAGAATGTTCACTGAAGCAATTGAAGACCTAGAGACAGTCTGAGGCTTCTTCAGAGGGGGACTTACACATGTCGTGGACCTATGCGTGGCTGCAAAGATTTTATTTCTGCCACGTGCATGCTCATGGGGAAGTGATTTAAATTCTCCAAGACCTTAGTCTTCTCCTCCATGAAAATAATAGGGTGCTCTAGGGTTTTAGAAATGAGTTTCGTATAGCACCTAGTGCATTGTACATTTCTTCACAAAAGTTGTGAGCTGCTTTTATTATTTTATTTGTATGAACAGATATGAAAGTTTTGTATCTTAGCAGGTGAAATAAGCAAGCTATAGAAAGAAATGTTTTAAAATAAACATTTGTATAGGTTAGGTTGAACCACATCAGACTACTGTTTCAGTAGGTTCAAACCATCAACATCAGAATATGTGGTTCAAACTGATATGTTTATTTGTACACAGAAAAAAGTCTGAGAATCAATGAACTAACAGCTATCACCCCATCACCCCTCACTAGGGTAGAGAGAAACGTTTATCTTTTTTAAAACATTATATTTGTCTTTGAATTTTTTAACCCAGTATCATGTTCTACTTTTATAATAAATTTCATCTTCTTTAGCTTTATGTGCTTCTGCGGTCTGATTTTTTTTTTTAAACCACGAGCATATATTATTTTTATGACAAAAACTTTAAACTATACAGGTAAAAAACAAAGGATGCCATTAACCACTGTTATTAATGTACCCTACTATTAAGTTGCTCTGTGATAATGCTTGCTTTGTGTGTTCTCTATTCCTTGAGGGTAACAAGGTCTCTAATTTCAACCCTGACTCCAGAGCTCAGGACCATGCCCTTCACAAGATGAATGTTTTTGACGGACTCAAATCTCACGTGGAAAACACATTCTTGCCTCAGGGCCTTGGCACTTGCTATTCCTGCAGCCTGGAACATTCTTCCCCCAGGTCATGGCAAGTACTGCATCCTCTCCTCCTTACAGTCTTTTCTTTGACATCCCTTCTCTAGGAGCACTGTCTTACCCCCGTTTAAAAAACTGCGAGCCCCATGCCCGTTAGTCTCCATAGTCCCTACCCCTATTTTCCTTCAAGTCAAGTATCAGGTTCCATCATGATACATTTTTACTTAGTTTATTTATCAGCACATTCTCTGGCTAGATTACAGTATCACATGGAGATTTCTGTCTGTTTTATTCACTGTGGTATCACTGGGTCTGGCACGTAATAGACACTCAACAACGGTTGAATGAACTGAGATACTTCCTGAGGACCCTCCATCAAACTTTGGAAAAATACAAGTCTTGACAGACATGGACTGAACCTCTCTAAGCAAATTAACCTCAACAGGCCTGTTTTCATATCATATAACAGGAGATTCAGGATCCCCTTCCACCCGAGGACAAAACCTGTACACACACTGCAGTAGTTATTTGAATTGTTCTTTTTGGTTCATTCAATCAACCATGCTCTTTTACGTCCTACCTCTGTATCTTCCTCAGCTCACCTGTACCTTTTGCCATGGGATCTGAGGAACAAAGGCCAGGGGGCCATCACGTGCAACAAAGGCCAGGGGGCCATCACGTGTGAGGACAGGAGGAATCTGTCTCCAGCCATTCAGGGCTCAGGGCCTCTCACCAGAGAACTCAGCAGACCTCAGACTGCCAGGCTTCCTGTGCCTGGGTGGGGGTGTGGGCTAGGGTTGGGGAGAGGGTGTAACCAGGGGGCCCCTTCTGGAAAGGAAATGACAAGGGCGGAGGCCAGAATGCGCAGGCGCTCACCTTCTGATTTCAATCAGTCCTCAGCAATGGAGGTAGGGGCTTTCATTAGCTTTGACTTACACAAGAGGAAATCAACACTCGGAAAGGTGAAGTGTCTCATCCAAGTTCTGATTTCTGAGCTACACTGGCTCTGGATGAGCATCACAATCATCTGCGGAGCTGGAGAAACTGAAATATGCTGAGGCCCGCCCAGACACTGACTCAGAGTTTCCAGGGGTGGAGTCCACGTGTTTGTAGCTTTCACAAGCTACCATTCAGGCTCCCTCTAAGAGGACTCCCACAGTCTTCCCCACCCACCTCAGCAGTCCCTGACCTCTGGGGTGGCAGTCATTGACCTTTGTGAGGCTTCATTTATTCACTATTTCCTCTGGAGGCATGTGGGGAAGTGGTTCTTTTATAAGGATGTGGGGAATAAGGGTGTGTGCCAGGCCCACGACTGGTATTTTCCAGCCTTCACGTGTAGATCCAGATACATGGGTTTTGAGAATCCATGAAACACCAAGTAGGGAATGTATAATCCCTCTCTCTCACCTAGATGGCCTTTAGCCAAAAGCTAAGTAATTTTTTAAAAAATATACAGATCATTTAAAGAATTACTGAATATATTTTCTCAATCAGTAGGTACTGATTGAGCTTAACTACATGATGAGGGAAAAACTTTGGGAATTTAAGAAGTTAGGAATTTGGGCTTACTGGTGGTATAGGGTCATAAAGTCTCAGCACTAATAAGCTATTGCCAGTTATCACGGCAGGAGTTTCAGATCAAGTTCAAGTTTAAGCTGCAGCAGCTGGTGAGCTGACCCACATGGCCCAGCAGACCTCTCCTGTCTTGCCTGCTGCTCCCCTCAGCAGTGTATCTCAGGAGATCCACCTGTTATGCTCCCCACTTTGTCTCTAGAGAAATCCTCACCCCTACACCTCTGACCTATGCCCCAGTTCTTTTATGCATAAATAAAATAAATACATCTTAAAAAAATAAAAAGGTGGGAATTTCTGGATTAATTGTGTGCCTGCTGAGAGCAAGAAGGTGTCAAAGGCAGCTCCCCTGTCTGCCTGTATCTCTTTCACAAGCCCATCCCTTTTAGGAGAAGCTTTTTCTGCTCACTTGTATCTGTGCAAGCCTCCTTTACTTTCCTTGCTTTTTAAGAGTAATAAACCTGTCCTTTTGGATATTTAAAAAAATAATAAAGATTTCGAAGGGTTGGAGGTGTGCATCAGATGAAAGCCAGTAGCTCATAAAAGGGAAGGAGAGTCTGCCTCAGGATCAATTTCATATACTGAATGCACTTCATTAAAATTTATTTTTGTGGGGTATTGATGATACCCAATTCAATCCTCTGACTTTCCAGATGAGTAAATGGGGCTTCAAGAGATGGCAGTTAACTTGGCCCAAATCAGCCAGCTGGGAGAGGTATAGGTGTAAGCCTGAGTCATCACTAAAACCCCCTTCTTCTCCCCACCATCCCCATTCAGGGAGACCAACAGCAGGTAGGGTCATGGCAAAGGTGATGATGCTAGATGACAGATTCTTATATGTGAGTCCTCTGCCAAGTAGACATCTGGACCTCTGCAGCATATGAGAGACTCTTGGTGGGCAAGAAATCTGGTATTCGTGGCTGCCAATTGGAGGTTCAAGAGGGTCTGAAAGGATCCTCAGGATTGGAGGATCTGAGAGGGTCAAGTAGGGAAGACCCTTGTTTGCCCTTCCTGACTCCTCCCAGCTCTTGGCAGTCAAGGGGAAGTGGTAGGCGACTGCTTCCTGAGATCCTCATCATTCCTGAGACACAGCTCCATCCACTTCCCCAATCCAGTCCTCTCACCCCAGGTCTGGCAGCCAGGGAGTAGGGGGCCAGTTTCTCAGCAGATGCTCCAGATCTGAAACCAGTGCTGCTCACTCAGGAAGAGGTGTGTCCATTAGAAAATCCTTCATTCCCAAGGACACCCCCTCCCTGAGCCCTGTTAGGAGGGCTACTCACTCTTATAATTCTCTATAGAAGGTGGTTCTGAGGACCCTACAAAAACTCATGGCCCTCAAGTCCTGAGGAATTTGTGTTCAACCTAAATCCATCCTAGACATAAGAGTCATTCCTATAGCCTATTTTGACTGTTCTCAATCCAAATGGACAACGAACATTGTATATACTGCAGGAATTCCAAGAGGGAAACTCAACTGATTTCTCCACTCAGTCTCTACTCCAGAGAAAACAATCCTGACTCTTATTTCTCTAAGGACCTGCTGTTCTTCCTCCTCTGTCTGGCCTCACTGTTGGCTTGCCCAGAGAGTTAGCACATCAGAGGAACAGTAACTGTCATAGATGTGGCTTGCGCTGTCTGCCCTCTGTGCTGGTCCCAACTAAGGACTCTAAGGTCAAGGACAGTTTTAGTGAGGAAGGCTAGACCCAAGATCTTTTCCCTTCTATCTAAGTCTTTTCAGGGAAGGGATGGACCCTGCTGGTTTCTCTCTCTTATCTTCTTCCTCTGCCTTCTGACCACTTCTCTATTACTCCTTTGCCTTTCTAGCATCCCCACCCGCAACTCTATCGTTACTTCCTCCCATTCCAGTATCCACGACTGGACTTGGGGGAAAATTGCCTTCACTATCTTTCTCGTCTATCACAAAGGGCCCTTGCCATTTCTCTCCTCACCCACCACCAGATCCAAGACTCCCACTGCTAGCTCAGATTCCCAGAGTGGACAAGTTTTCTGTTGAGCTGTGGGGAAAAGTACCGTCGATGCTGTGTGACCAGAGAGGCTGCTATCAGTTGGCTCAATCTGAGCTGTAACATGGTACAAAACAGCAGACGGTTCAAGCACACAAGCTCCACATGGAATCGTCCCTGTAAATGCTCCACTTGCACGCATGGAAAGTGGGCACTGGTCCAGTTAAAGGCTCCAGCTAAAAAGCCTTACTGCTGATGGCACCAATAAAGGGGAACCACCTAAGGGCTGTATCCTCCATACATGAGGTGCAGAGACAGCCTGGAGTGTTCACAGGGGCTGCAGATAATACAGCGTCTTGAAATATGGTGTCTTGGAGACAATTAAATATGGAGGTTGGGGTTACTCCTGCAAGACACAAAGGGACAGAGGGGGATGTAGATATGGGACATGGGGTTTCTGCAGGGGCAGATTTCGCATGGTTTGCTTTTCTCTATACTGAAGGCCCAACTAGATTTAAGTAGAATGTAAGGAAGAACCTGCTCGGTAGAAGGTTCCCCGAGGTGATCAAAGGTGGCCCTTCCTGAGGGAGTCAATAATCCAGTGATTATTCATTGGCTGCTCACAAGTCTGGCTAAAGGATAGGACCAGTTTGGAACATCCAAATTCATTGTTTCTAAGTTTAGCAAAATAGAAGTTTGGGGGTGGGGAGGGGTTGGGCATAATGCTTATCTAACCCATTCATTTCTCTGGCTTCTAGGTACTCCCACCTTGATCATTCATTGAGAATAGTCTTCTTTGAAATTGTACCCCTCCTTTGGGGGGGTTCCAGGGAGATATCACTATGGGTCTTAGTCCCACTCTAGGCTATAGTCAGTTCAACTAGACAAAGTTAAACTCACCAAGTTAGGAGGGGACCAAAATAGGAACCAGTGTTTCTCTTTTTCTCCACTTCTCTCAGGACAGCCATCCCTGATCTCCTCAACCCTTCTTCCCACTCTTCAAACTATCTCATGTGCCATAGAGGACATTTAAAGTTACATCATGAATAAATATTTGCATAGTGAACTAATGAACTCCCTAAGGCAGGTCCCAGAAAGCTGAGGCCTACACTGCTCCTTTCTCCTAGTGACACCTGGTTCCAACAGCTCAGAGTAGAGAATGCAACACTGACCCAGAAGTAGAGGAAGGGAGGAAAGAAACATTTTGGCTTCTCAGGAATTATCTAGGGCCACGTAATGAACTTTAAGGCAATCACAATTTCCCAGATTCAGATTCCAAGTCTCCCCAACCAAGGTCGCAGCCCTGAAGTAGGTCCCCAACCTGCTACATGGGGGCTTGGGGATGGTAAGCTGAGAGCATTCTAACAGGGACTTCAGTCCTTTCTCCTGCCTCTGGGAGGCAGGGCTTAGAGCAGTCATTCTCCTGCCAGAAGATGGTGGTCAGCCATAAGCCTGCTAGGTTTGGGACTGGGAAAGTCTCTTTAAGTTTCTCTCTTAGCTCCGGAGGAAGTGACAAACACTAGCTGTCTCTTCAAAGCCAAGAGGAAGAGGCAGGAAGGAGTAGGTACATGCCCAAGCTTGACTCTGGAGAGACATGTGTGATCACACATCTGGGGAGTAGCTTGGCCCATGGCCCTGGGAGCCCCATGATGCCCCGCCACCCTTCCGCCACCCTTCCGACATTCAGTTGGGGGGCAGGGCTCTAGGAAGCAAATCTACATACACCTCACTGGGCCCTCTGGACAATGGGCAGTGGTATCCACCAGGCCATGGTGCCTCAGCAACCCGCTACTGGCCCTCACCCCAAGTCTGGGCTTCAGGAGGGCCGGGTGCCCCAGGAGTAGCACAGGGTATACGACTGGCTTCCAGGTGGCAGAGGCTGATGAAGTGCTAGCCTCTGGCTTCCCCCGCCCCTGGGTGCCCCTCACCTTGAGCTGGGACTTGGAGACCTTGCCGCTCTTCTCCACGTCCAGCGCAGTGAAAGCGTACCAGATGGACTTAAGCAGCTCCTTGCGAAGGGCCATGGCTGAGGCGCCAGCCCAGCCTGGGGGCGGCTCTGACACAAAGATCCGGTTTCAGGAAATGCAAACGGCTTCAGAGACCGCAGAGGGGCCATGGCGCGGAGCGAGAGCTCCACCTGTCTGCTCGCGCAGGCTCCCTGTGCTGGCAGGAACCAGCCTGCTGCTCTTGCAGCACTAAGCAGCTGACTTCCCTGCTGAGGACAGGGCACTCAGCCCAGGAAAACTAGAGGCCCTTTAGAAACCTACTCTGTTCCAGAGCTTTCTAGAGCTTAGTGGGCTCCCAGAGGCAGCTTGATAAGGCAGAAAGCAAGCTCCTCCTGACTTTGGGATGGAGACCCGGTCTCAGCTACCAGGTAAGTCTTGGATAAGCCCTTAACCTCCTGTAACAGTGTCCTCATTGGTGAAGCAGGAAAAATACCTACCTCATCAGAGTGGTAAGAATGTCTGAGGGCGGATATCGAGCATAGAGTAGGCACAGATAAAGCGTTTCTTTCAGCATTACTGTGGTGGTGGGGCACCTCCCAAGCGGAAGAAAACAAAGGCAACAACACAAAGCTGGAGGAGGAACTGGGCCAGGGCACCTCTCCAGGTCAGGCGGACTTAGCACGTGACTTATTGCCTCCCCATCTTCAGGGCTTTGGCTCTTCAACTCAGAGCACTGCCCACTCTGAGTTGAAGACTGAAGACTGCTACTGAAGACTGCTACTGTGAGGCATGTGTGTGTGTGTGTGTGGGGGAGGGTCTCCTGGTAGGGCCCTGCAGCAGTGTGGGGGAGCAGGAGGCTGGGAGTCAGGAACCTCCACACCTATGCATCATTCAAACCTGCTGCTGGGGGCTAGATACACCCCTGCCAGCACAATGCTCATGGAGGTTAAAGAAGTCTCTCAGGCAACTGAGACCCCCTCTGCCTGGGAGCACCCCCAGGTCCTTCTGCTTCCACGTAGTCAGTGGCAAGAGTAACTGCGAGTTTACCAAGCACCCCAGGAAAGGATGCCTGGATCGGGGACAGGGTTCCATTCCAAGGTGGCAGAAAGGGACTTTCAGCACAGCCATCACAGTAGACAAAAAGCAGCACCTCCGACCCCCGTCATGTTGTCATTCAAGCGCCTTCTCCCGCATCCCTTCTTTCCAGCTACGGCTGGTCTGGTTCTACTAGACACATTTCAGAGGGTCCAATGGTAGTTCTGGAATTCCAGTGTGGCCCTTGGCAAAGGTGACCCCAAGTCCCACTCCAATGTGGGGCTTTGCCCACATGGAGTTGCCAACTATGATCAGTATATTGATCTATATGCCAACATTGTCGATCTATATGGCGGGGTGAGGGGGTGGTTGTAAGGTAGGAAAAGAATACTTCCAGTACAATGATCCCGAGGCCTGAGATGCAACCAGAGCCTGGTCTTCTTTGTGCCCCTCAGTGCCCATCTATCTGCTCAGCTGCGGGAAGTCACTGGAAACTCCTCAGTGCTTATTTTAAACTGGGTTTCCTCCCATTTCGCCCCTTGTAGGAACTCTCACTTTGGCATTCCAGCTGAGTGGGGTTTGTGCTAGGGATAGTGGATTAAGAGCCTGGTTTGACCTGCCCTGTTACCACCGCACAAAGCTGAAAAGAGGGAAGGACCCAGGCAGAAACTTGGAACTTTTATTAAATACTCATTCACCCGTTTGCCACCACTGCCCAGAGCAGGAAAAAAAAAATATCAAAATGGAATTAAAAAAACAAAACAAAACAACTTAAATCCATTCCTCATTATGTACAAAGGCGCTCCCTGCATTTCTGCCACAGGGAGGTTGGGGAGAAGCTGGGGGTTGGGGGCTGGGCACCCTTCTCCAGCCACAGGCCCCTGAGCAATTCTGATTGCGGTGGCAGGAAATCCCTGCTGCTAGTGGCCAGGCATCTTGGCTGGCCTCCGGGAGGTGGTTATTGCTGGCAGGGGCAGGGCTGGATCTGCTCTGCCCCAACTGGGCTGAAGAGCTGTCTGCCCTCTCCCCTGATGGGCAGTGACTAGTCAGAGAGGAGGACCAGTCCCCATAGCAGCCCCAATGGCCACCTGAGAAGGGGGATAGACTGAGGGCAGGCAGGGTGCTCCTAGAGGGAGAACAATAGGTGCCCAGATGATTGAGGGGTGGACGGCCCAGTGTAGCCTGATGACCAAGCCTGTCCCCCTTAGCTCCTGAAGTTGATGCACTCCTCCGATTCCAGCTGCCAGTCCTCCGCTTGGGCAGGGCCCCCAAGTTAGGCCATTTTCCTGCTGTCTTCTTGCCCTGGAGGTGTACATGGCCATCTTCCACGGGTCAGCCCTTGTAGGCAAGGATGCCACATGCCACTTCCTCCAATACCAGTTGGGACCCGGCCCTCCTGGGCTCAGCAGCCACTCTCCGACTCTGCAGTCTCCAGGGTCACGGTGCCTTGCTGCATGGCGGCGGTGGCCACACTGATGGCTTCCTCTAAAGTCTGCTGCTCCTCTAGCTGCAGAGATGGGGATGGAGAAGGAAGGACAGAGTAAGACCTCCCTCCTGGACTCTGGTGGCAGTAGCATAAGGTCTACTTTTTAAGAGTGTCCTCCATCCACTTAGGGCCACATACTGGGTGCGTAATCTGATCCCCCAAAAAAATCTTTGATAAAAGGTTTGGTAAAGACTTGATGAAGAAAGATTCTGTTAGGCTGAGGCTCACCCATGGTGGCCACTGAAAATGGAGACTGTCATCAAGTGATAGCTGTTTTAAAGAACATCTTGGAAAATAGGGAGAATTTTAGAGCATTTAAAAGCAAGGATTTGAGCTGACCTTTTCAGTGATTTAGATGATGAAAAGTGAAAACTGACCATTACTGTTTCATAAAAACCCTCTGATTAATTAATTAATTAATTAATTATTCAGGACTATTTGGAATTCAACAAATATGAGTACACAGCATCTGTACTTATAGAAAAACTTGATTAACTGTAGTTCTATTAAACAGTTTCTCATTCATGAACTAAACACACTGGAAGAATCAAAGGAGACTAATGTAATTTGGCCATCTAAGAAAGGAGAGGGGGAAAATAAGAATATTGAAGATCCTCCTGTTTCTCAAACAGTAAAGAGATCGCATATCCTTTGGGGCTTCTTTTATCTTAAAATTTATATATATTAGGCCCTCCCTGGTGGCGCAGTGGGTTAAAGCACAACACTAAGAAGCTAAAGCCATTGTAGCATGAATTCGATCTCCAGCCCCGGAGGTGACCCACATGGCACGGCAGACCTCTTCTGACCTACCCGCTGCTCCCCTCAGCAGTGTACTTCGTCAGTTGGCTTGTTCTATTCCCCACTCTGTCTCTGGTGAATCCTCTCATGGCCCCTGAACCTCTGGCCTATACCCCAGTTCTGTATGCATAAATAAATAAATCTTAAAAAAAAATTTATATATGTATTGGGCCTCCCTAGTGGCTCGGGATACTCAGTGCTAAGAAGCTATCACCAAACACTGTATTGGTGACATGACTTGGATCCCTGACCAGGGCACCAAGCCACATAAGCACAGCAGACCTCTCCTATCTCCCTGCTGCTCCCCTCAGCAATATATTTCAGTACATTTGCCTGTTCTGCTACCCATCCTGTCTCTGGTGGATCCTTTTACCTTCCACTTCTCTGGCCTGTACCCAGCTCTTGCATGCATAAATAAATAAATCTTAAAAAATTAAAATTTACAGGTATTAAGTAACTTATTTCCCTAATATTACCAGAAGGCATTACTAGTATTTGTACTTTGGAGAAATCTGAGTTTCTGAAAAATATTTACCCCTCATGTTTTACTGCAATTTTGAATAAAAGTTAACTGTCATCTCAAAGAAAAGGTCGTTAGGTTGGAGGAACAGAGAGCCAGAGGATGGTCCAGGGTCACGACTGGCTTACAGCAGGGCAATGACTAGTTGGAGAGGACCTTAATAATCATCTACAACCACTTTCTTACTTTTCAGATAAAGAAATGGATACACGAAAAAGTAAAGAAGGACTTAGACAACTAGGGATACCAAAAACATTCTAAAAGCTAGAAGGCTCGCCACTTGCTTCTGACAAGAAAGCTTTGTGTCTCAAATTTCTCCAAGGTACAAATACTATTATGCCTTCTGGTAACGTTAGGGAAATAAATAAGTTACTTAATACATGTAAATTTGAAATTTTCTTTTTTTAAAGATTTATTTATTTGTGCATACAGAACTAGGGTACAGGACAGAGCTCAGGGGCAGTGAGAGGCTTTACCAGAGACAGAGTGGGGAACAGAACAGGCAGATCTACGAAGTACACTGCTGAGGGGAGCAGCGGGCGGGTCAGGAGAGGTCTGCCACACCATGTGGTCACCTCCACCATGTGGTCACCTCTGGGGCAGGCGGGAATTGGAAGCAGCTTCAGATTCTCAGTGCTGTGCTTTAACCCGCTACGCCACCAGGGAGGGCCGTAAATTTGAATTTTTTAAGATTTATTTTATTTATTTATGCTTACAAGACCTGGAGTACAGGCCAGAGATGTGGGGAGCGAGAGGATTCAGAAAGGGACTTATCCTCAGATCCCTTTTTGAGCCCAAATGGCCTTTTATTTAAGATGACCACCCAGCTGCTCTCCCTCCCTACGGGCTCCTCCCAGGTCTCTACCCACCTGTACTGCAATGTGTGTGCCGTTGGCTGTGGCCAGCAGCGCCACCTGTTGATGATGAAGGGACGCTATGCTTGAGTCCTCTGTTACCACAGCCCCAGAGGTAATGATGGTGACCTGGAATACAGAAGAGTTAGGTTTCCTAACCTATTTATTAACCTTACTCTTCCTCCCCGATCCACGTAAAAATTCCTCCACGCAGGGAAACTAGGAACCCAGAAGAAACAGATAAAATCTTTATGGGTCAGATTAATTAGTGTGGGGCTCAGAGCTAAGTGAGGGTGTTTTTTCTCTAACTTATAGCCCCATTTAGAGATTTTAAATCATAGAAGGCCAGAACTATAAAAGGTCTCAGGTATAATTTAGTTCCATCATTTTAAAGTGGAGTGAACCCCAAGGAAAAGTGACTTCCTAGGATAACAAGGCAAATA